CTGGTAAAGGCTCCAGGAAATTTGGCTTTTAAGCAACCTTTGCAAATAAGTATTTGACTACAGGATTCTTTTAAAATAACACCATTTATACTTTGTATAACTAAGATTTAATGCTCCATTTTCATATAATACAATCATTACTTTGCTAGCTTCTGGAACCCCAGTTTTTGTAACAGTGAAATGAAATTAGAAAGCCTAGCAGCCTTCTAGAATGTTAAAACTTAGCCTTGTAATTCTTTCTTAATTTCATATTTTAGTAATTTCTCTTGTTCAGCTACTGACTTGAAAATGTTTGAACACAGACAGGAATACAAGTTCCTTATATGTGATGTGAAAAATACAGAAAAATAAAAAGAATACAATTTAAATATCCTACATCCACTGTTAACAGTGGATCTCTGTGAAGATCACATTCTCATGGCCAGCTCTGGCTCCCTGCTCTTACAGATGCCAAGCTAGTTTAATTTCTGGATAACTTTTTTCTCTCCTCCCTTTTCACGCCTCCCCCTCTTCATGCCTTTAACTCTGGCAAGGAGCTTAGGCCTTTTCTGGGATGTACACACAGACATGGTACACCCCTTCCGTTCCAATGTGTGATAGCAGATCTAGCTGAAGCTATGCTGGAGCTTCTTTAGGTTCTTCCAGAGTTGTAGTTAAAATTGGGACCAATTTCAAATATATTTTGTTGCTGAATTATGTTTCTTTGAATGCAACACCATAGTGAAGTGAAGAGGCCCCATGAAGCCTGGGCCTCTCCTTAAATTACATTTGAGATAGCCTTGTATAAGTAAAATTGTTTGACAAAAGGCTATGAATCTTTTTGTTTGTTTGAGACAATTTTACTCTTGTTGTCCAGGCTAGAGTGCAATGGCATGATCTCAGCTCGCTGCAACCTCCACCTCCTGGGTTCAAGCAATTCTCCTGCCTCAGCTTCCCATGTAGCTGGGATTACAGGTGCCCACCACCACATCCAGCTATTTTTTTTCTTTTAGTAGAGATGGGGTTTCACCATGTTGGCCAGGCTGGTCTTGAACCCGTGACCTCAGTTGATCCGCCTGCCTCGGCCTCCTAAAGTACTGGGATTACAGGTGTGAGCCACCATGTCCAGCTGGCTATGAGTAGTTTTATGTCTATGGAAACATATTGCCAAGTTCCTTTCCATAAGTGTTATATTAATTTAGACTCCCACTAGCAGTGTATGAGACTGTCCATCTCACAGCCAGAGGCTCTGAAAATAAGCTGAAACTCCCACTACTTGCTTCCACACTTAGCCCTGTGAAAGTATTCACAATTCTCACAAGTAGGGCTCAATTTTTTCCTTTGTGCACCCACTGCTCTATGTACATAACTTGTGATAGAACTAATCATGTGGTATCAAAATTATGTGTATGTCTAGCTTTTTCTTTAAACCAAATCTCTCAAGGCCAAGGTCAAGTCTTTTGCTCTTCTGTGACCTTAGCACAGAATGTGACTGGAACTGGTCAGGTCTTCAGTGCACATTGTTGCTAGACATAGAAACTGATCTGATGAGTGTGAATCAACTAATTCTGAACTCTTAGATGTATCCAGTCTACTTAAGGCCATTTCATAGCACAGGTGTACTTTTACTGGTAAGTTCAGACCAGCTTTCTCCCCAGCCTTCCTGCAATACTTGGGATCACTTGCTTGGCTTCCTGCCATTCTCTCTCAAAGCTAGACACCAATCACATGCTGTTTCCTCTGCTTAGAATGTCCTTCCTCCCATTTTCCATGACAATTTCCCCCTTATCCTTTAAGACTCAATTCAGAGTTCACCCTAGTGTTGCCTACCCCAACAACCCCCAGGAAGAGTTAATCTTTTCTTTGTAGTTCAAGAGCTCATTGTTCATACAGCTTTTAGAGTATTTCCATATTATATTGAATTTATCAATTTAATTGCCTTTCTTTTTTCATAGATGTGTGTTCTTAAAATTATAGGTCCCAAGTCATCAGTTCTTGAATTAATTTTAGTTATGGCATTCCACATTAAAAGAACAGAATAGAATATATAGAATATATCAGACTACATTCCACGTAGTAAAAATAAATGTTTCATAAAATTTTGAGTGTGTTATGTGTGTAGGAAGTGTATGGGGCTGCAATATAAAATGTATTTTCTGAGTTTTATTTTTAATTGACAAATAATAATTGTTTATATTTATGGGGTACAAGGTGGTATTTCAATCCATGTGTACATTGTGGAATAATCAAATCAAGGTAATTAGCATATCCATTATCTCAAATATTTATCTTTTTTTTGTGGTGAGAACATTTAAAATTCTCCCTTTCTGCTGTTTTGAAATATTCAACACATTATTAACTATGTTCACCTTCTTCCTTTGGGTTGCGATTGAACTGCTTAAAATCAACTGCTGTACCTATAAGCTTTTAGTGTAGGAATGCTGCCTTGTTATCTTTGTATTCCTAGGGTCTTAAATAGAATAAACCCAAAACTTCTTCATGGTACAATGGAAGAATGAATGCAAGACCAAATGAATATACATAACTTGCCTTCAATTCGAGAAAGTTTCATCCTTAAGATCAAAATACCAAGGCTGGAGACCATATTTGACTATTGCTTTAGTCATAGTTACAGAATGAAACGTCAGCCAGAGATCCAGTCCCTTTAGCAAAACCAGTACCTTCAAACACATAACTGATTGGTATCAGCAGTTCTATCAAATAAATGACCACTTTATGCTTTATAATTTCAACGTTCCTACTGGTATTTGGAAAATCTATTAAAACTATCTGTGAGAGTCCCCAGCCATAGCACTGGAAGGCAGCTAACTTAAGAAAGCTGGCTTTGCTGACACCCTGCCTTGTGCAAATTCTAGCTTTGCTGCTTACTAACTTACCCTCTTTAAGCCTCTGTTACATCATCTCTAAATGGAAGAAGATAGTACCTACATCCTGAGCCTCCAGTGCTTATGTTAATAGTAACCACTCAGTAAGTATTAGCTATTAGTGTATCGTAATAGCTAGTTGTGGTAGAGACTACTGATTGCTTGCTTGGGATCAGTTCTCTCCTTCATCCTTACTAATGGAGCATCATTTGTATTTGGGGCAGAATTATACTCAAAATATTATATTTCTCAGTCTTTGTTTAAAGTTTTTTTATTTTTAATTATTATAGGTATATACTAGTTGTACATATTTGTAGGGTACATGTGATGTTTTCATATGAGCATATAATGGGTAATGATCAAATCAGGGTAATTGTGTGTTGCCCTTTCCTTCTACCTTTCTTTATTCTGCCTGGAATTTACATATGGTATCTGTAGCTGTAGTTACCATCATGGACTAATAGCCACCCCTGAGCATGAAAGCAATGTGCTAAAAATGGCCAATCAGAAATACAGAAGAAATTTTGATTCTCTTCTAACTAAACTAGTCCTGGACTATAATCCTTCAAATTTCTCTTACATGAGAGAAAAATTAGACTCCATCTTGTTTAACCTGCTGTTGTTATTTTATTTTTATTGTACTTTAGGTTCTGGGGTACATGTGCAGATCATGCAGGTACATACATGGCAAGATGGTTTGCTGCCTTCATCCCCCCCATCACCTATGTCTGGTATTTCTCCCCACATTATCCCTCCCTACTTTCCCCAAGTCCCGCTGTCCCTCCCCTGGCACCCCCACAACTGACTGCAGTGTGTGATGTCCCCCTCCCTGTGTCCATGTGTTCTAATTGTTCAACTTCACCTATGAGTGAGAACATGTGGTGTTTGGTTTTCTGTTCTTGTGTCAGTTTGCTGAGAATGATGGTTTCCAGATTCATCCATGTCCCTATGAAGGACATGAACTCATTGTTTTTTATGGTTGCATAATATTCCATGGTGTATATGTGCTACATTTTCTTATGCAGTCTATTGTTGATGGACATTTGGGTTGGTTCCAGGTCTTTGCTATTGTGAACAGTGCTGCAATGAACATACATGTGCATGTGTCTTTATAATAAAACAATTTCTAATTCTTTGGGCATATGCCCAGTAATGGAAATGCTGGGTCAAATGGTATTTCTATTTCTAGGTCCTTGAGGAATCGCCACACTGTCTTCCACAATGGTTGCACTAATTTACACTTCTACCAACAGTGTAAAAGTGTTCCTATTTCTCCACAACCTCTCCAGGATCTGTTGTCTCCTGATTTTTTAATGATTCCCATTCTAACTGGTGTAAGATGGTATCTCAATGTGGTTTTGATTTGCATTTCTCTGATGACCAGTGAAGATGAGCATTTTTTTCTTGGCCTCATAGATGTCTTCTTTTGTAAAGTGTCTGTTCATATCCTATACCCACTTTTATTAAGCACACTGCTGGAATGAATTCTAACTAACATAGAACTCATAAACATTGGTATTTTTTCAGATTTTAAAACAATATTAAAGTGGAAAATGTAGCATTTAAATTAATACCCACAATATGAAATATCTGAGATACATTTTTTTTTCTATTTAGTTCTCATAAGATTCTAGAGAGATGAGATTACTATTTTTCTTTACACATGTTAGGAGAGTTGCAATTCAGGGGTTAAATAGCATCAGCAAAAATATGTGACAAACAGATCAAGCCAGGGATGCTAATCAGAACCTCCTTTCTACCCAGCAAGAATTGAATATGCTTTAGGGAATACACACAGCTCCTTTTCCTACTCAACAGATATCACTGAAAATATAGGGAATAAAAATTACTTTTTCTACTATAACCAATACAGATGAGTCATAGAATCGGGTTTAAAAATCATGTGACTTTAAAGAAAACACGAGATACCAAGTTCAGTTTGTAGGGAGGCACATTTCTAATCTTAGGAATTCTTCGGAAATAAAGTTTAAGATACACATTATTCTACCACCTCCTGAGGAACATAGGTGGTTCTCTTGACCCTCAAGTCCCTCAAAAAATAATCAGCCACTGGTGGTGGGTGGGACATTTCCATGGGTGATTTGCTGCTGACTCATCAGCCCGTAATTCACTTACCTCTACTTCTGGCACTATCCTCATTTCTGGAGAATTTGCCTCCTCCTATCTGTTTATTCTTCCTTAGAAGTATCTTGACCTCAGTGTGGGAAATGCAGTTTCTGAAAAGCCTCCGTTTCGTCAGACAAGGAGAGCTGATGTTATCATCATTAGTAAGAGAAAGCAATGTGCAACCTCATGGTCGATGATGCTTCATCCTCAGATACTTTCTCAGCCTCTTCCCTTCCATGGCTCTCTGCCACCTCTCACAGAGATTTTCCTTTGTTTGATGGAAAGCAGGGGGGCCATTAAAGCCCGCCCTTGGAAACTTCAATGTGCTGCGGAAAAGCCTTGTTTCTGCTCAGGGGCAGCATGGTATAGAAGACAGAACCTGACTCACCTCTTACTATGTCTCCTAAAAAGCAAATTCCTTTTTAAAGCCAACTTTGTAAAGTAATGTTACAAAGTTACTCTTAATTAATTTTATTGTAAAAGCAACACACAGTCTTAAACAAAAATAAAAGTAAAAAATAAAAGGTAAAAGTTAACCTTGCCCTCAAGGCTGTTTCTATCTGCTAGAAACAGACACCCACATCTTAGTATTGTCCGTAAATCCACAAGTGTATATCAGTATGTGCATAAGGGCTTTAGTGGGGAGTCTGCTGCATATATAATCCTGCCATTTTCTAGTTCACTTAACAATATATTCTGAGCACCTTTCCAAATTGGTCAATTGCCTTTTTCTTTTTAATAACTGCTATAACAATTGTGAACTAGAATATCACAGACTGGGTAACTTATAAAGAACATAAATTTATTTCTTATAGTGCTTGAAACTGGGAAGTCAAAGGTTAAGGAGCCCACATCCAGAAAGAGTTTTCTTGCTTCGTCAACCCGTGACGTATGGCAAAGAGCAAGGAAGTATACACAAGAAAAACGGGAAAGCAGCTGAATTCATTTTTTAATCAGAAATCCACTCCTGTGATAACTAGCCTACTTCCACCATAGTGACATTAATCTACCCTTGAGGGCAGAGCCCTCATGCCTAGTCACCTCTTAAAAATCCCACCTCTCAACTCTGTTGCATTGGGGATTAAGTTTCCAACACATGACCTTTGGGGGACACATTCAACCATAGCAGTATCTTATCGTATGAATATACCATAAATTATAAATTCATTTTTCATTGATAGAAACTTACATTGTTTTCAGTTTGTTTTAAATTCACAAAAATGTTTGCCAAATATTTGATAGCATCATCTTTGACAAATAGCCAAAGAAAAATAACCCCAAAGGAAAGTATTCAACATGCTAAAAAAAAAAAGACTCTAAGTATCCAGTATATGTATTAAAAAGTCACTAAACCTCATGATTAAGGAAATATAAACTAAAGAACCCTTGATGGGATTTCATTTTTACCCATCAAATTGGTAAAAAAATGAAGTATATAATCCACAGTATTTCCAGGGTAATGGGAAAAGTCACAGTTGATTTTGTACAATCCTTTTTGAAGGACAATTTGGTGGAATCTGTCAAAATTTTACATGGCCATAGGCAGGAATATATAAATATATGTGTATATACATATGTATATATATGTATGAATATAAATATATATATATGTCTAGATATGTATATACACACACACACAATGATATTTATTGAAGTTTATAATTGGAAGAACAACTCTGGATTGTCATTGTCACATCTATAAGGAGAGAATAACAATACTTACATTGCCAGGTTGTTGTTGTTAGAGATCATGTCCTTAAAGTCCTTGGAATTGTGCCTAAGCATAGTCAGGGTTTAATAAGAGGTGGCTATTGTGACTCTCAGGAAATCCAATTTCTTCTCATCTCTGCTGGAGACTTAGATTGGGTGACTTCTTGACAACATTAGACCAGGGGAAAGCAGCATGAAACCCAGGCACAGCCCTGTAGAGTCAGAGTCTGGTCTCCTAACCTTGCCTTTGCCGCTTGCCATTGTGGAGCCCTGGAGAAGTCATTTAACCCTATCAGGTCTTTTTCCTTTCTGTAAAATAAAGGAAATAATACTTTACTACGCTTTTGGAAGGTCATTGCAAACAGAAATAAGTGTAGGTTTATACAAATTACTTAATGAGATGATTTTTAAAAGACTATCCAGAAAGAATCTAGACAAGTCAGCTGTCAACTTCTATGAAATCACATTTGATCCTGTCATGACTATTGGGTTTTGATGTATGAATGGGAGGTACCATAGAACTGTTAGCAATAGATGTTTATTTTTTTCCTGTCCATTTCCCAGAGTATTTTCCACAGTACTGGCATTCCCTAGTATGTTAAAAGATGAAAAACATTTAAAAAAAACCTTTAGGCCAAAAGAGTTTAAAAGACTTGACCAAATAAATTTAAACGGTCCTCCTTACTTTTCTTTAAGCAGACTTTTCACAATACTATTCTATGTGGTAAATCTCTTAGGGAGATATAATATGCACATCTTCAGCTCTTACTTGACTAGAGATGCCTTTTTCATGAAACATCTCAGAGAGCTGAGTTCTGTTGAACTCGGGCAGTAAGCATCTTTCTAGAGAGATTAAATTCTAATTCAGATATTTCTTCCAAAAACCTGGTGTTGAAGGGGTAGTCTTTTAGAGACTCCAACGCTACTTGAACTTAAAGTGAACAAAGGGCAATGTGATTGATTGTACTGGGGCAAGATGAGATCGTTGAGCCAAGTTTTTTTTTTTTTTTTTTTTTTTTTTGAGACGGAATTTTGCTCTTGTTACCCAGGCTGGAGTGCAATGGCGAGATCTCGGCTCACCGCAACCTCCGCCTCCTGGGTTCATGCAATTCTCCTGCCTCAGCCTGCTGAGTAGCTGGGATTACAGGCACGCGCCACTATGCCCAGCTAATTTTTGTATTTTTAGTAGAGATGGGGTTTCGCCATGTTGAGCAGGATGGTCTCGATCTCTTGACCTCGTGATCCACCTGCCTCTGCCTCCCAAAGTGCTGGGATTACATACAGGCTTGAGCCACCGCACCTGGCCAGAGCCAAGTCTTAAAGGATAAATAGATATTTGCCAAGCAGACAAAAAGGGACCATCTCCAGGAGCAATTATTTGACATAATTTAAAGTGCAATAACATCCTCATCACTTTCTTCCAGATATTTCACAGTTGCAATCAGTGGAAATTATGTGGCTACGTCGAGCCAATAAACATTATTGCATTCCAACTCATTGGGAAGAAGAGAAATCATGAAAACATAGTCATCATCCTAAAGAAATTAATAATCTAATGATGAGAAAGGCATATAAAAATAACTCTAACAAGCAGAAAAAATGATGTATGCTATTAATAAAGGTATAAGGTGTCATGGAAGCACAGAGAAAATGGTTTAACTTTGATTTATGAGAATGAGCTGGGGGAAGAATTCAGAGGAGGAGGTGGAGACAGATGCAACTGATCGTTGCCCTAGATTGCATTTATATGCAACTGAATTATTTTTCTCACGCCGGGCCAGCAGCTGAAGCCATGACAGCCGTCAAAGCAGAATGTATCAAGGCTGAATGAGGTTAGTCAGATTTTACTCCCCTTCGGATGACACTCTTTTCCCCCTTTGCTTTTACTAAGACTCCATTGACAGGCAGGACTCACAGAGAAAACGTTATGGGAAGGACAGACTTTCTCATGGATATTTAGAATTTAAGATTAGTGAAAGGAAGAGTTAGAGTTGCTTTAGAGTTCCCCATTTCAGTTTACTGGTGGGAAGGAAAGGATTCTCTTTATCAATCTCACTTAACGTATCCAATTTTTAGGGGGTTTTATGCTTTACAAATTTGATTACTCAGCAAGAACTTATTGCTACCTTCCTTGGGTTAGGAACAAAACAGTCTTGAAGGATTGGTGCGAGATGGGATTTAGTCTGACCGTCTCAGTTTATGGAGAGAAAACTGTGGTTCAAAGATGATAAAGGATTGGACACTGTACTCCTTCAGACCCAAGAAAGAGAGGGAAGAGGTCTTTTGTTGATTTCAGGGCTCCACTATGGCCCTCTTCTATGTTCCCCTGGCAGTGGAGAATTTACAAGGACAGAGGAGAAGTACTCAGCTGGAACCTGTGCCCCAAGACCTTTTATCTAGACCAAGCCATGAGTACCTGGAACCCTGGATTTCTTGCCCCAGTGGTCCAAATCCTGCCTTCAGGGCCTACATAGGTTTCTTCAAAGTGTCTGTCCTTCTGAGAGTGGATGTTGCTGTGGGTATGCATACCCCTAGGCCCAAAAGGTGGCCAATAGGTAGCTGTTTGCTTGGTTGGTATCCACTTGGACTTGTGATCTGGGCATCGACCTGTATGCCCTCAAGACCCCTTGTGGTCCATAGAGAAGAAAGGGGGACAGGCTTCAGGGTGTGGAGTAATGCCTGGCTTACCTCACACTCTCATATTTCAAGGTAGTTTTCTGAGGAGTAGAAGAATTTTAAATTTAATTCTAAATTATCAAGATAGGATGATAGAACATATTCTATTTAATAGTTTGTTGGCTGGATTTTTAAAAAGTTTTTGGTCTCAAGACCCCTTTATACTTTTAAACATTATTGAAGACCCCCAAAGGGCTTTTATATATGTGAATAACATCTATTTATATGTACCACATTAAAAAGTAAAATTAAAAATTTTAAATACTTATAATTAATTTATTTAAAAAGCAATTAAGAACTTAAAGTTGATATAAATAACATTCTTATGAAAGATACTACATTTTTCAAAACGAAAGAAGAGTGGTACTGTTTTACATTTTTGCAAATTTGTCACCTGATTTAAAGAAAGACAGTGGATTTTCCTGTTTACTTCAGCATTCAATCTGTTGTGATAAGTGGTCTTAATTGACATATTTGAAGAAAATTTGGCTTCACACAGATACACAGTGGGTAAAGAAGAAATGTTTTTATAGCCTTTTTACATAATTGTGTATATTCTTTTTTCCTTCCACACCAAAACTGACAAATAGTAATTCCTTAAAGATGTTTCCCAATGTAAATTCTGAAACCATATCAAAGAAATTTTAATACTTGTTACATTGTGCACTAATTAGTCTTTTGGTAAATATTGGTTCACTGAGTTATACAGATCTCTCAAACATTGACATATTTCCTTACACAATATTTCTTAAACCACTTTATTGAGGTACGATTGACATGTAAAAAGTGATACATATGGCCGGGCGCAGTGGCTCATGCCTGTAATCCCAGCACTTTGGGAGGCCAAGGCGGGTGGATCACGAGGTCAAGAGATCGAGACCATCCTGGTCAACATGGTGAAACCCCGTCTCTACTAAAAATGCAAAAAGAAATTAGCTGGGCATGGTGGCATGCACCTGTAATCCCAGCTACTCAGGAGGCTGAGGCAGGAGAATTGCCTGAACCCAAGAGGCGGAGGTTG